CAGGACTGGGGTCCACAGGACTCTGGGGCCCATAGGACTGGGGCCCACAGGACTGGGGCCCATAGGACTTGGGGTCTCATAGGACTTGGGGGCCCATAGACTGGGCCCACAGGGACTGGGGTCTGTTAGGACTGGGGCTCTATTGGGACTTGGGGGTCTATAGGACTGGGGCCCATAGGACTTGGGCTCATTGGACCTGGGGTCTATTAGGACTTGGGGTCTATTAGGACTTGGGGTCTATTAGGACTGGGGTCTATAGGACTGGGGTCTATTAGACTGGGGTCTATTAGAATTTTACAATAATCTCATAAACCTCTCAGGGTAATAAATAAGGGTGGTGGGTGGTGGGTAAACTCACATCGTTAAGGGAAAGGTGTACGTGACCACAGTAAGGCGACCACAAACTACAGTCCATCCTCACCTCCCTTCCTCCCTCACCCCATCAGATTCTAATACTACCACTAACTCATCAATAATAATAATAATAATAAAATAATAATAATAATAATAATAATAACAAACAGTAGGAAAGTGCCTAATACTTACCATGACTTGAATACTCTGGCTCTAGTCACTAAATAGTGCCAGTCAGCGCCAGTAATGTAATATCCCTGGTAAGTAAGAGTACAGATGTTGTGCCTTCAGAACACATCAAGGAGGAACGCCAGTCAGCTAATAGGCCCCTCCATCCAGGTTCCCTTGCTCCACCACAAGATGTTTAATTTCACCTCACCTCTCACCTCTACCTGGCACCTCCCCTCACTCTGGCACCTCACCTGGCACCTCTACCACCACCATTTATCACACAGATCGTTGGCCACATAGTTCAATATTTATCACTTTATTCAACCAAACTTCGATTATTGAGGCAATGACGGGGCTGACGAGGAGCTGACACTATACTGCTTACACCATACTACTGACACCAAACTGCTCACACCATACTACTGACACCAAACTGCTCACACCATACTACTGACCCCACACTGCTCACACCATACTACTGACACCAAACTGCTCACACCATACTACTGACACCAAACTGCTCACACCATGCTCCTCACGTTGCTGGTGAGCGGGCACTGTTCTTAGCCGGGCCGACGAAGTTGTTTGAAGACTCTCCTATTCCCCTTCGTACCTGGTGGTAAGTCGAAAGTTGCGTGAATTCGTATTCAGGGAGTTGTTGAGCTTCCAAAACTTGCTTAGACATAAACCATTTACTCTTCAGGTTACTGCCCTCGACCTTCAGGCTTTACGCCCTCGACTCTTCAGGCTTCTACGCCTAACTGTGAGACATAAGGCAAGCATGAACTTAGCATGCTTCTGTTAGGTGCCAAACGCTTCTGCGCTTCCACCTTACACGAGGATGTAGGGAGTGCCCAATAAAAAATAAAAAACATACTCCTGGTTAGGTTTAGGTTAGGGTTCAGGTTAGGTAAGGTTAGTTATTCAGTCATTAGCTGTGAATACCTTTGGCGAATACTCTCACACAAGCAGTGGAGGTCTCTGGGCCCACCTGAGACGCGCCAAGGACTGTTGAAAGTATTGCAGGACGCGAGAGAGAGATGAGGATGAGGAGGGGTAGGAGAAGGGGAGGGACCAGGAGGGGAGAGAGGAAGAGGAAAATAGGAAGGAGGGAGGGAGGGGGAGGGAGGAGGAGGGAGGAGGGAGGAGGAGGAGGAGGGAGGGAGGGAGGGAGGGAGGAGGGGAGAGGAGGAGGAGGGAGAGGAGAAAGAGAGGGAGGAGGGAGGAGGACGACGAGCAGGAGCTTAGTTTAGTTTACCAAATTTATTGACAAAGCTTGTAGTAGAGTTTGCCTATTGTGAGTAATTCAGTCAGGTCTTGACACTGAGGGTGGTATCACTGCCACACAAGACAGTGGTTCATACACAAAGAAATACATCATATTCATTAACAGTATATAGACCAAAGTCATGTGGGTGATATATCACTGTTCATTGCCACGCAGGACAGTGGCTCATAGTCCAACTTCATCACAGCCCCGCAGAATATGCCGACGTGTTACTTGACCAATGGTCCAGTGTGTCACAAACACTTCCCTGCTTCCTGACATACAGCAATATCTTAAAGCTACACACAATAAGAGGGGTTTCAATTTTGAAATAGCCTGTCTTCACCAGACTTACTGACCAGTTTCCTATAACTCACCACGAACTAACAACAGCACTAATGAAGGTGAATCATCCTCCCTGGTGAGGATGACATAACCTATAACACCCTGAGATTGTTGAACGAGATCCCAACCATCCACTGCTTGACCTGTATCAAATGAGCCTCACACAGGTATTCTGCCAAAGACGTGGACTCAAGGATACAGAGTACCAATCCCCAAAGCTAACTCTCCAAACCCAGGCCCACTTAACTCACATCCTGTATGAGAGAAGTTCTTGAAAGAGTTGTTCTCAACCGTCTCATGTTTCAAGTCAGACAAACTGGCCTCTAATCTTGTACGGGTCATGCCTGGCCTGCACACAGACATGGCTTTGCAGAATATCTTTTGTCTCCAAAAGATAAGACACAAACAGCCTTTCATAGACCTTAAATCAGCCTTTGATGTAGCTAATAGAGACATTATACTTGAGCAACTAGCTAATTTGGGCATCCAAGGTAACCTCCTGACATGGATAAAGGGTTATCTGTCCAACAGGTATGCTCTTTGTTTAGGGAGTGCAAGTACCAGAATTAGAGTATTTGAGCTTGGCACGCCTCAGGGAGGAGGTAGTGTTAAGTCCTATGATCTTTAATATGCTGATGCACAAGCTTATTGCTGACATTCCAGTTCAGCCGAATAAACTGTAATATGTTGATGCTCTGCATTATGACACAGACCAAGCTCAGGCTCCAAGTCTAGCTGGATGTATTTGCTCGGAGGACTGTGGTCTCATAATATCTGTTAACCAGGACGGGGGTCCTCAATCCTTGTCCTGCTCAATTCTGCCTCTTGACTATAACATTAACAGCATGCTCCTTGAACTATGTAGCTCTTATAAATATCTTGGAATTTGTGTGAATACGAACTTCGTCAGCAACCTTGGGCTAAACTAATGCAGCGTATTACCCTAGAACCCTTTGTTGGAAGGGCCATGGAATTAACATCACCTATGCTCGTACTTTCTATCTTCACTATTCGTTCTGTAGTTGACTATCATGCTGTCCATCTTGTGACTATTCCGCCTAAGCAACTCAACAGCCTTGAGGTAGTACAAAATGAAGCCATGCCCATCATTCTAGGATGCCCAAAATCAACCAGAATTGTAAACATGAGGAAAGAGCTGGGCCGTCTCTATCTGAGAGATAGCTCTACTTAATACCATGTTTGTGTCAAAGTTTTGAAGAACAATGGTCCCAAACTACAGCTCAAACTGAGTTGTTCTATCTAAGTAATCCCGACCATCTCGCTAACCTTCCACAAGAGACTCTCTTTAGGGCGTGGCTTCATAAAAGTGTGTAGCAGATCTTGAAACTGAATGTCCTAATCACCCCAGACGAACCTATTAATGCCATTCTCAATTGGCTGGACATATCAGTTTTTATTAATTACAATTCTGTTGGTAGTAAGCAAATGTTAAACACCGATGGGTGAGATGTGTCACACTAGAAACAGTCACATAGAGAGTATAAAATCAAGAATATTATGCTTTAACTGGTGGTTCTGTGCAGACAAACACAGGCTGTGCAATTGTAATATATATAAAGAAAGGAGATGATAGTGTGTCCGAGCAGCAGCGATAGAGGGCGGAGGAGGAGCAGGAGCCCCACCCACTTTTACGTAATGGACCAATGGTGACACAAACATCTGGGGTCAGGATATAACCTACTGGTTGACTCACCACCAACAAGTATGACGTCTCACCACAGTAGCTAAAGGGTGTACTGTACTACCTTAGCACCTGATCCACCTGTCTCAGCTGGATCGGGCATTTTAGCACCTGATCCACCTGTTTCCAGCTGATCAGGCTCACCCAGCACCTGATCCACCTGTCTCAGTTGACTGGACTACTCCTAGCACCTGATCCACCTGTTTCAGCTGACTGTATTACCCTAGCACCTGATCCACCTGTCTCAGCTGGATCTGGATTACCTTGGCACCTGGATCCACCTGTCTCAGCTGACTGCATTGGTCTTAGCACCTGATCCACTCTGTCTCAGCTGGGATCAGGCCACTCCTAGCACCTGATCCACCTGTCTCAGCTGACTGACTACTGTAGCACCTGATCCACCTGTCTCAGCTGGACTGATTCACCTCACACCTGATCCACCTGTCTCAGCTGACTGCTACTCCTAGCACCTGGATCCACCTGTCTCAGCTGACTGGATCACCTAGCACCTGATCCACCTGTCTCAGCTGACTGGATCACCCGAGCACCCGATCCACCGTCTCAGCTGACTGGACTACCTTTAGCACCTGATCCACCTGTCTCAGCTGACCTGGACTACCCTAGCACCTGCGATCCACCTGTCTCAGCTGACTGTGTCATTCTAGCACCTTGATCCACCTGTCTCAGCTGACTGTGGCTCACTCCCAGCACCTGGATCTCACCTGTCTCAGCTGATCTGGCTGTCCTCCTAGCACCTGATCCACCTGTCTCAGCTGACTGGATCATCGTAGCACCTGATCCACCTGTCTCAGCGCTGATCAGGTTTCCTAGCACCCGATCCACCTGTCTCAGCTGACTGTGTCTTAGCACCTGATCCACTCTGTCTCAGCTGACTATATACTCTCAGCACCTGATCCACCTGTCTCAGCTGACTGTACCTCCTAGCACTCTGATCCACCTGTCTCAGCTGCCACGGTTGCTAAGGGCGGGACACAAGGCGATAGAACCTAATCGACTGGTCAGTATCGAGTAATTTTGTTGGATGCCAGTAATACTTTGGCACCTCACCTAACTCGGATGCCAGGTGAGTGCCCAATAACCCCCCTCCTGCTCCTCACCTCACCTATTTTGGGGTAAATAAGATCACTAACCTTGAAGAAACGGTTAAGGGTCTCCCATAAATATCTCAGCAACAACGTACAGGAGCTGTAGGGTGATTGTCGAAAACCAAACCTCACCCATAGGACTCACTTGGACTAAATATATAATGATTAAGGACATTTGGGTTGGGCAGTATCCCAATCATTTGGGGCCCAGACGATCTGGAACCTGCTGGAACTCGGCCCATCTAACAATTAGGCCCCCACAGCTGTTAGACTACACTGGGGCGACACAGCACAGTCCCCATACATGATTCAGAACAGCACAACGGAACTAACTCACCCCAACAACCACAATGCTGCACTGCTGTGAATTTACGGGGCTGTAAACTTTTTAATATAGCACAGCACCCTGCCACACCTGCTAGTGCTGTTAATGTATTGTGTGTGTGTGTGTGTGTGTGTATGTATTTTCTATTAACACTGAGAATGTCCATTAGGACAGGGGCCCATTAACATCATGGGGTCTAATAGAACAGGGGGCCATTAACTCTACGAGACCATTAGGACAGGGGCCTATTAACTCGAATGGGACTTTTAGAACAGGTGGCCCATTAACCTGAAGGCCTAGTTAGACAGGGGCCATTAACATAAGGGCCCATTAGGACAGGGCCCATTAACTTGAAGGCCTATTAGGATAAGGGCCCATTAACTCGAAGGGCCTCATTAATAGTATAGTTCATTAGGACGGGCCCATTCACACTAAGGGCTAATACAAGGCCCGCCTCCAGCGTCTAGTGTCTCAGCAAGTCTTGTAGTTCCACCTCAATGTTCTTGTTGATTCAGATTCAGATTGCCCACGAGGGGCTAGTTTATTGGGCACCCTTACATCCTTTTGCAAGGTGAAGCAGAAGCGTTTACAGTGCCCAACTGGGAAGCATGTTGTTCATATGTTGCCTTTATGACGCATATGCATTCAGGGCGGTTACTTGAAGAAGGGTCGCGGTTTTATTAGCAAGTTACATAAGGTGACGGAATGATGAGTTGTGTGGGGGAATTCTACATTTCATCTGTTTATGGCAAAGTGTGGCAGGTCCCTTGTGCCAGGTCCTAGTGCCAGGTCCCTAGTGCCAGGCCTGTGGACTAGGGGGAGGGATATCTGTGTTCTTGTTTGATATCCTGAGACCTTGTTTTGTGTAGAGCGCCTCCTGACATTATTGACACCTCATTTAACACAAGGCTGACACTTCCTGACGTTTTTCAGGTTAGGTAGGGTCAGTTCAGGTTAGTTAGGGTTAAACCCCCGTCAAGTTTAGGTTTGAGGTAGGATAATGTTCCGGGTTGAGAGAAAACGACTGCCAGCCACTGCAGGTGACCGGTGGTAGAGTGCAAGGAGGGTCGTTTAGAGAAGGTCATCCCCGGTCCTAAAATATAATCTGATAAGGTCTTGTGTGTGTGTGTGTAAAGATTACCTGTGGTGCCCAATGCTCATATAATACACACTGCATAACAACCTTTTAATACCTGACCCTGACCACTACTCCTGACCCTGACCAACTCCTGACCCTGACCACTACTTCCTGACCCCTGACCACTACTCCTGACCCCTGACCACTACTCCTGACTCTTGACCACTACTCCTGACCCTGACCACAACTCCTGACCCTGACCACACTCCTGACCCCTGACCACAACTCTGACCCCTGACCACAACTCTGACCCTGACCATGTCCTCTGACCCTGACCACAACTCCCCAACTCTGAACTTGACCCCTGACCACAACCCTAATTCTGAACTCTGAACATTGCAGGTAGGGTGTAGTTCATGGTACTGATCTGTGGTCCTGATTATGAAACCAGGTTGAACCTCTTCTCTCCTTCACGTCACCCTCTCCCTCCCCACCTCCTTCCTTGTTCTCCCCTCACCTTACCTCATCAAGTGATCCTCTCCTACCCCCTCCCTCCCTTCCCTTCCTCTCTCCTCCCTAAAGAGTTTCTATGAACCTCCTCTTCCTCCTCCTCCTCCTCCTCCCTCCCCAGGTGTATAGCTAAGGAGATAATCGCCAGGCGTAGACACTAACGCCAGTGCTAAGCGACCAACATGATAGTCAAGTTTACGCCGCAGGTCGCTCAGTTAACCCCGCCGCCATCACCACCTACTACTTCCGCCACACCACCACCACTGCTACTGCCTCACTTACTTCCGCCACCACCACCACCCTACTACCTCCGCCACCACCACCACCATCACCACCACTACCTACTGCCACCACCACCACCCTCACCATCACTCTAACCACCACCACACCACCACCACTACTACCTCCGCCACCACCACCACCACCACTGCCACCACCACCACCATCACCACCACCACCACTACTACCACCACCACCACCATCACCACCACACCACACTACTTCCGCCACCACCACCACCACCACCACTACTCCGCCACCACCACCTCCTACCACTACTGCCTACCACCACCTCCACTACTACTGCCACCACCACCACACCACCACCACCACCACTACTACCCCGCCACCACCACCACCATC